TAAATGAGTACATGAGACATATACGAAAGATGAAAGGTTCCAAGATTAATGAGTGAATAAAGAATGAGAGCTGGCCAGGCACGGTGGCTCACGTCTGTAATACCAGCACTTTGGGAGGCCGAGGCAGGTGGATCACGAGGTCAGGAGTTCAAGACCAGCCTGACCAAGATAGTGAAACCCCATCTCTAAAAATTAGCAAAGCATGGTGGCGGGAGCCTGCAATCCCAGCTACTCGGAAGGCTGAGGCAGAGAATTGCTTGAACCTGGGAGGCAGAGATTGCAGTGAGCCGAGATCGCGCCACTGCACTCCAGCCTGGGTGACAGAGCGAGACTCCGTCTTGAAAAACAAACAGCAACAAAAAAGAATCAGAGCCCAAGTCAATATTTCTTCAACTGGACCATAGAGTCATTATTGGGTGTGTGTGTGTGTGTGTGTGTGTGTGTGTGTGCGCGCGGCAGAGTAAGAGAGATTGTTCAAAAAAGTAGAGTCCCACAGAATCAAACCAAATAGAAAAATGAGTAAATAAATGTATGTATACATAGACAAAAGATATTATGTGTAATATATATAAAATTCAGCCAGCAGCTGAAATCTCAATAGACTTCTCCCAGCCATTTTTGGGTTTGGCACATATGGACACATTTTCTTTGTTTCCTTCTGATTGCCCTGTGAAAAATGAAGGTTCTAAATCTAAATGTCTCAAAACACTGATATGTTGAACTCAGTTGTGAGAAAGATGCAGAGTTACAACCATGCATCAGGAATTATAATTTATAATACAATAATTATAATAACCTAATGCAACAAACATTTTCTGTATGCTGCCTTGTGACCTCTGAAAGTGTGGAAATGCCTATCAGAGTGTTAAGCAGATATGTCAGGGAGGATAAAAGGTTGAGAACCTTTAATAGTTTAATACTTCCACTATGTGGAAGTGTCTAGATAATAAATTAGTGCTGATGGATTAGCAACGTCTTACAGAGACATTTTATTTTAGTCAAAAGAATTTGGAGTATTTCTTGAACCTAGAAATTGTAATCTTATAATTACTGTTAAAAGTAATAGTTATTTAAAGATTAGAAAATGACTCTCATTGATCACATGTTTAATTTAGATAGAAGCTAGGCATTAGGCCTGTATTTTTGTTTCCTCTGAAAGTAGATTTGTATAATAGCTTTTTTAAATATCATGATACAGTCCATCTATTTAATAATTAAAATTTCTCAAGAACACTATAAACAATACAAATATAAGAAATACTGTGCATAAAATGTGACAAAGGTTCTAATATTTATCATTCAACCAAAAAGTAAATTTTAGAACATGATGTATTTAAAAGTGCATTTAATACTGTATTTGATTTGTTTGCTGATACTTGCCTTCTCTGTAATCTCCGGCATTTAAATCCAAGTTAATCATACAATGTCCCAGGGATATGGCCACAGAATTAAACTCATTCCATCCATCACCCTTACAAACGCCCCCCACCAGGAACAAACTCAGTGTCACCTGCCAGTTCGTAACCCACCTCTTTCTATCTCTGCCCTGCTGACAGTAAATTGCCTCACCAGCTAATTGAACAGATGCACCCAGTGCTGCTTCCTAAAGATCTGCAAAGCTGGACTTTGATGGACAGCAGAAAGTAGCACAATGGAAAAACAAAAGCTTTTAACTGAGAGCATTGCTTTGTTCTGCTTAGAACTTTAAGGTCACTCCAGCTCATTTTGACTGCTGTGAGGATCTTAATTTTTACTCAACCAATTTACTTGCAGCTGTCACTCTTTCCAATATTAAAAGTTCAGCTCTTCAAGTGTGGGGAATTGAGGGAGAGAGAAATGAGAAGAGCTTGTTTCAAACTAAAAACAGCAAAAACAAGTAAAATCTGGCTTGGCTCTGAAGTACAAAAAGTTATTTTCAAAGCTTATAAATTATGACATCGTGATTAACATGTAATTTAAATATATTTAAACAACAATTATATCACATTTCCAGCCCAGCTAATTGGCCTCACAGATGTTCCCTTGGAGCTGCATTGCCCTTCCACGGGGAAATGAATGAGGTGCTTTTTATCATGGAAAACAGATAAAAAAGCAAACTGAAAAAATGGAAACAGAAACATAAAAAGCAGCCAGTAACCCTAAAAACAATGAATGCTAAAGGGGTTTTGCTTAGCATTTTTTTCCATTTTAATGCTGAAAACAGGAAAATTCATGAAGATGCTCCTATTACTGTGATGCTATTTGGCAGTTTGTCCAGATATGGAGTTGGCAGGTTGCTGACTGAAAGACTTGTCAAAGCAGGGACAGTGGATGCATTCTAATAGGGCATGGCCTCGCTTTCTGTCTTGGAACAGACTAACCGCAAGAGTCCCAGTTACTTTAATCCATTGCCTTTACAATGGAAGCCATTCTAGCCCAGATAATGAATATAGATAATAAACTGTTCCCCGATGAAGAATGACTTGTAAGTTGTTCCTTTGATTGTTTATGTCTCAGGTTTTGTAAAGCGCAAAATGTGCAATCAATACTCATTTCTCAGCTGTAATTCTAGTCAAACATTACCCAGTACAGCAACTTTTGCAAGGTAAGAGGTCAAAGGAGCACTAGTAATTATGAATATTTCGGAATACCTTGCATTCTAATATAGAATAATAGAATTGAAATAAATTGCCTTGTTTCATTCTTGCCTTTTCTTCCAACAATCTCAGATTATAATCGATAGTGTAAATTCTAAAAGGACAGTGGTCATGTCTTTCTTAGTGTATCGTGCTATCGCTGGCATCTACCACAGTGCCTGTACTTTTACTGTAGAGATTTAGTAATATTTGTGAAGTACTTGCCAAATAATTGGTGTTTAATGAAGAGGGTAAGGCCAGTGTTTGTAGTTTGGTGAAGTTCCACCAGGCAGTTCCATATTTCCTGTACTGTCACTCTATATTACAAATCACTGGACTATAAAAAATTCTCTACTCAAATTTTAAGAACAAATGTACTGGATTTCAGGTATTTCTAAAATATAGTAAAACATGCCTATATTTAAGATGATTAGAAAATAGATGAGCATTTTAAAATGCCTCTTTGATGAGTAGCTTTGGCATCCTGATTGCTTTATTTTAGAAATTCAATTTAGTGGATATGAATATTTAAATGTGATATTTACATTTTTATAATAGTGCAGAGTTTACAAAGTTAATTTATATGCATTATCTTACTTCATATTTATTAATAATAAAATAGAGAGGCCAAGAATGAAAACGAGGGTCTGAGATGTTTCATGATTCACCAAATTCACACTACTTATCATTGGAACTAAAGCCCAGGTCATTAAACGATCTGTCTGTTGCACAGTAGCACCTCCTATGTATTGCATATTAAATATATCTCTGACTTTCCATGTCATAATCTTTGATGTGTTGTTAGTTATGTTACTAAAGAAGAAAATAGATAAATATTCTAATGCCACCATAGTTATGGGGAAAATTAAAATATAAACTCACTATAGGGGTTCAGACCGTGTCCCTTGATTAGTCCAGCAGACTAAGTTAGTTAAGGGAGATTATATTATCCAGTTGTTACTGATTTACTTTAAATACTTAATCTCCATGGGACCATATTCTTCTTAGAATGCTTCGTGAATCTAAATCATATGAACAGTGACCTGGAATAATATTTATCTGTTTCATATAAAAGATGTTAAGTATCTGTAATCCCAGCACTTTGGGGGCTGAGGCAGGCGGATCACGAGGTCAAGAGATCGAGACTATCCTGGTTAACACGATGAAACCCCGTCTCTACTAAAAATACAAAAAATTAGCTGGGCATGGTGCCAGGCGCCTGTAGTCCCAGCTACTCGGTAGGCTGAGGCAGGAGAATGGCACAAACCCGGGAGGCGGAGCTTACAGTGAGCCGAGATCCTGCCACTGCACTCCAGCCTGGGCGACAGGGCGAGACTCATCTCAAAAAAACAAACAAAAAAGATGTAAGGTATCTTAGAGGTTGATTTTAGTCATCTCTGTTTACTTAAAGCTGGATTGTAGAGAATATGAGCTTCATAAAATCAAGCGGTTTGGGTCTGTGTTTTGCATTATCCCTGTGCCTAGAAAAGTGCCTGGCACATAGACAGTAGGTTCTCAAAAAATGTGTTTAATGTATTTTTTTAATTAAGAAACAGAATTAGTATCATACAACTCCTTTTCCTTACCCTAAAGAACACTGTCCTTCATATTTTATTATATTTTTATACCCTCTTTCAGTTAGCCCATAGGATGGAGTGTTAAGCTATAAAAATATACATGTATTTTTGTTGTTGTTTCTTTAACTGAAATCTGATTTTGACTCATTATAAATACATAAGGGGAATCTAAAGCATGTTTCCAGGAAATGAATTGATTTTCCAAATTTTCTGCTGTTTCTTAACTTAAAAAAAAAAAGTAAGACTGAAGATAAAATAGCATATACCTTTTAATAAGGAGAGGCAAAGGAGTTTACCCTTTGCTGAAGTGGTGAAAAATAAATGTAACTTGATAGCAAAAATTACTGCAGGCAAATCGAAATCTCCTGCTATCTCCTTCCAGAAATATTTATTCTAAGAGAAAAAATAACAGCAGCGTATATGGCCATTTCAATCTTTTGACATGTAAAGAAGGAAACCATTTCCTATTTACATCAATAGTTTATTTACTACTTTTTCCTTTCCAGTAGGGTTAATCAGAAGAAAGTTTATTATTTACTTTCTAATCCATTGAAAAATTTTGCTTTTTCTGTATAATTTTCCTTTTCAGGGATTGAATTAAAATATCTATTTTCCTCAAAACATATAAATAAGCTTGCTTATGGTCAGAATACAGACAATGTTACTGCTTAGGAAGCTTCACTGTTGTGCACTTTTCCCCCTTTGGTTCATACGACTCATGTGGCTTTTCTTTTTCGTTTCTTTTTTTAATTTTTTCATTCATATTGCCTCTTATTATATCCATCATTCCATTTTTCTTTCCTATTAGAGTGAAATTGGACACAGCCCTCCTCCTGCCTACACCCCCATGTCAGGAGTAAGTATTTCACAATCAACCTTCATCTTTTAGGATTTTTGGTCTTTGCTTACCATGTTTCCTCTCTCTTGTCTCTGCACAATTTCCTCATTTTGCCTTTGCCAACAGTGAGTTAAGAATTTGCTGTACATTGTGTAGCTGCCTTTTTAGATGTGTTTTTATCTCAGTTGATAATATAAAATTGAGATCTCATGCATCAACAGTAGCTTTCAATTTTTATCTGAAGGATTTACCTGCGCATATAAATTATGCTTCTGGATGTGGAGGTGATCTTTACTTCCCTGAGTATAGGTCATGTACTAAAAAGTCAGAATTATAGTGATGATCCTCTAGTTAGGTACTAGAGCCTCAAATTCATAATAACCACAGAATTTTAGAAGGCAATAAAGACAAAGGATTATTCAAAATATATCCATGTACTTCTATTCTTAATGACAACTGTCTATAATGACACTCCCATTTATCATAAAAATTCACTTTGAAGTTTATATTAAATACAGGCACTTGTGGGAAAAGGGCATCAAATACTTTTTATTAGATTATGTTACAGTTGGTTAATAAAACTAAAATGTGTACTTCAAAATTATTTTCTGATGATTTATCTTTTAAGAAAAGCGAAAATTTTAGGTGTTTCTAGTTTGTAACTCAAATTCATTAGCCACTAGGGAAAAATAAATAAATACTATGACTATTCTCTAAAAGACTGGCTTTAACATCCTTGTGGCTATTAACATTCATTTTTAAACTATTTCTAACAACACCTTCTCTCTAAATATGTTTCTCTTATTAACAGAATCAGTTTGTATACCGAGATGGAGGTTTTGCTGCAGAACAAGGAGTGTCTGTGCCCTACAGAGCCCCAACTAGCACAATTCCAGAAGCTCCTGTTGCACAGGGTGCTACAGCTGAGATTTTTGATGACTCCTGCTGTAATGGCACCCTACGCAAGCCAGTGGCACCCCATGTCCAAGAGGACAGTAGCACCCAGAGGTACAGCGCTGACCCCACCGTGTTTGCCCCAGAACGGAGCCCACGAGGAGAGCTGGATGAGGAAGGTTACATGACTCCTATGCGAGACAAACCCAAACAAGGTACGAACTGATTATTCAAAAATGATTGCCATTTGAAGTTCACTTCCATCAAGATAAACAAAGTACAGAATGGAAATTGCCAGATAGCTGTACAGCACAACATTTGTGACCTAGTAAAGGCCTAGGCTACTGCTACTTGCAGTATGGTCCCTGAATCAGCAGCATCCACATTATTTATTATTATTTATATAAATCAGAATCTCAGGCAGGCCCCATCTGAATAGGAATCTGAATTTTAACAAGATCCCCAGGCTATCTGCATACAGCCATGAGTCTTGAGAGGCACTATTCTAAACATATTTTGTTGAAATATTTGAATGAGGTAGCAGACCACAAAGTGTCAGGACCATAGCTTTATTGGACTTAATTGTGGAGATCATAAAGACTGGTATTGTTGGCAAATGTGCCTGATGCTTTTGATGGCGCTAATAAATGATTTGTTTGACTCATTTAAAAGGTGTCATTTAAACAACCTAGTTTATTATAGGAAAATATTATGTTTTTATATGACATTTTTCAAAAATTAAAGTTTTGACCCTGTATATACTTACAAGCATACCATCAAGATTTGAAAATAATAGTTTGTGGTTTTACAAAGCACAACAATAATTTTGTAAAGTTAGTAGTAGAAATGTTAAGCACCCAAATCAAATAATGCTTCAATTTTGCAACAAAACAGCTTTTCTTCTTCTACGCTAACAGTATCACAATAGAGAAGATAGATGATTGTTATTAAAAAATGATGATCATGTCTCTCGCAGTCTTTAGTGTCAATAGTAAACTACATTTTGAAACTCTGAGAAGGGCTTGTTATAAGGTTATGTTCTCTCCTTCAAAGTAAAATTTAAAGATCTCTAATTGTAAATAACCTTTTAAAATATATCTGTCTAGATAAAACTTTTACATATATAAAACTTTTACACATATAAAAATGTAATGAAGAGTTTGGATGTTCATAGTAGCCTAGTAATGGCACAAATGTAGATTTTATGAAGATTTGGTGGATTCACCCCAAAGAAGCAGCTTTTCTGGGGACATTTTCACTTCAACCGTAAAGTTATTGGACAGCTATACAAGTTTGCATCAGGATAATATATAAGTAGATCGCATTGAGGAAAGGTAATGTAAGGCTAAGAGAAAAGCAAGTCACCCTATATAGTCACACTGTATTCTCAGATTTTATCTCTGAACACTAAGCTCCATTTCTATAAAAGATTGCTATAGTCTCACCTCATACTCAGAGAGTACAGAATTTTAGTAGAGACATTCCTATTCTTTCAATTAAGAAGTTTCAGAAATCTGGTAAGAAAGATCAAATTCTACATTGCTTATAAGTGTTTTCATACGCTTGTCAAAGTAAAACTTGTGGCTAAGCATAAAGTTCACCCAACTCCTGCAGGGGCAATAATAACAAACAGTGCAGTAGAATAAGAAGATTTCTCAAGAGGAGTTAGAAGACCTGAATTCCATCCCAACACTAATTGTATCCTGCATACATCACTTAATCTCATTTTTCTGTCTACAAAGCTGGAAAAATAAGTCTTGTACTTCTTTTTCACAGAATTGTGAGGATGAAATGATAGTGTCTTGTAAAGTCCTATATATGATAGTGGGATATTCATTACTGCCCTTTCACTTGAATAAATGATGCTAAATACTTACCTATTCTGTATATATACATTTGGAGAAAAATAATCCTGGCTTAATAGAATTTTTCTCTCTACTTGTTGGGCTAAGGATAAGAGATAGAAAGTTTGTTTCAGAATGGCCTCTCAACAAGGAATTGTGTCCTCCTGATGCCTTGAATTCAAAATAGGAATAGCTTAGGGCTTTGCATATATAGTAAAAGAGAAGACTATTTAGAGGACCTACAATATATATGTGTATATGTCTATGTGCAGTTTATATTATAGACATAGATGTATTAAGAATTAATTAAGATTCAGGAGAATGGTGGTAATTATTAGCACTGTTTAGGCCAATACCTATACTAGATGGATTTATTAGATTGATCCATACAAAATAGGCACTAATTGACTGATTTCAATATACAAAATGGCTGTTTCATATGATTCAAGCTGATAGTTTGCTATTTTGTGATTATGATTGGTCAATGGAAATATTATAATTATACTTTATTATTAAGTAGAAGTATATGTAATGTCAAGCAAGTCCGCTAGAGGCATGTTAGCTATCTGTTAGATTTGCTTTTTTAGTTTAATTTTTTTCCTTTGATGCTTTCTTTTCCATGTGTAAAACTTTTGTCAGGAGCATCTCCAGTCAAATCCTTTTTACCAGTATAGGCAACCATAGCAAACCATAGAGACTAATAAAACATGATTTCTTCACTCCATCTATTCATCTTGGCATGGAACTCAGCTATAGACTCTTTGGTTTTTCAATATCCTTTATAGAAATTAAGCTGTCTGTATATTTAAAGGCTATTTAATCCTAATAGGTAGTCTTATTTCCTAATATAAATAACTTTTAGAAAACAAGAACATTGAAACAATCAGCCCCATATGCAGAAGAGACAAATGCAATTAGAAAGAAATAAAAATTTAGGAGATAGAAATTCTGATTCTGGCCTCCTTGGCTTCTTGGTTTTTGTAAACATGTTTGGCCCCCTTACTCTTTTTTTCATAAGACCATGGTAATCCACAAATAGTTGTGAGAAATCATGAAAACAAATCTGTGGTTTTTTGTTCTAGACAAAGCAGCTAACCATTATGTATAACTTTGCTCTGATTAATATTTTCCAGAAAGTAGAGGTTAGCTGATTTTTTTTTTATTCCTTTAGAATACCTGAATCCAGTGGAGGAGAACCCTTTTGTTTCTCGGAGAAAAAATGGAGACCTTCAAGCATTGGATAATCCCGAATATCACAGTGCATCCAATGGTCCACCCAAGGCCGAGGATGAGTATGTGAATGAGCCGCTGTACCTCAACACCTTTGCCAACGCCTTGGGGAAAGCTGATTACCTGAAGAACAATGTACTGTCTGTGCCAGAGAAGGCCAAGAAAGCGTTTGACAACCCTGACTACTGGAACCACAGCCTGCCACCTCGGAGCACCCTTCAGCACCCAGACTACCTGCAGGAGTACAGCACAAAATATTTTTATAAACAGAATGGGCGGATCCGGCCTATTGTGGCAGAGAATCCGGAATACCTCTCTGAGTTCTCCCTGAAGCCAGGCACTGTGCTGCCGCCTCCACCTTACAGACACCGAAATACTGTAGTGTAAGCTCAGTTGTGGTTTTTAGGTGGAGAGACACATCCGCTCCAATTTCCCCACCCCCTGTCTTTCTCTGGTGGTCTTCCTTCTACCCCAAGGCCAGTAGTTTTGACACTTCCCAGTGGAAGATAGAGATGCCATGATAGTTATGTGCTTATCTAACTTGAACATTAGAGGGAAAGACTGAAAGAGAAAGATAGGCGGAACCACAATGTTTCTTCATTTCTCTGCATGGGTTGGTTGGGAGAATGAAACAGCTAGAGAAGGACCAGAAAATGTAAGGCAATACCGCCTGCTATCAAACTAGCTGTCACTTTTTTTTCTTTTTATTTTTCCTTTTTTTTTTTTTTTTTTTTTTTTTTTAAGCAGATGGTTGAAACACCCATGCTATCTGTTCCTATCTGTAGGAACTGATGTGTGCATATTTAGCATCCCTGGAAATCATAATAAAGTTTCCATTAGAATAAAAGAATAACATTTTCTATAACAAACATATGATAGTGTCTGAAATTGAGAATCCAGTTTCTTTCCCCAGCAGTTTCTGTCCTGGAAAGTAAGTATGGCCAACTCAAATTTCATAATTTAAAAATCTCCATCAAAGTTATAACTAGTAATTATGTTTTGAAGCCTTTTTGTTTTTTTTTTTTTTTTCATTTTGTTTTGCTCTGACCAATTCCTTTATATTTGCTCCCCAATTTTTGGCTTTAATTTCTAATCGCAAAGATGTTTACATCAAAGCTTCTTCACAGAATTTAAGAAATATTTTAATATAGTGAAATGACCACTACTTTACGTATACAATCTTTAAAATAAGAAAGGGAGGCTAATATTTTTATTTTAGCTCTCATTTTTCATGCTATCAAATTATCTTCACCCTCATCCTTTACATTTTTCAACATTTTTTTCCTCCATAAATGACACTACTTGATAGGCCATTGATTGTCTGAAGAGTAGAAGGGAAACTAAGAGACAGTTCTTTGTGATTCAAGAAAACTACTGATACTTTCAGGGTTGGTCCAATGAGGGAATCTATTGAACTGGAAGAAACACACTGGATTGGGTATGTCTACCTGGCAGATACTCAGAAATGTAGTTTGCACTTAAGCTGTAATTTTATTTGTTCTTTTTCTGAACTCCATTTTGGATTTTGAATCAAGCAATATGGAAGCAACCAGCAAATTAACTAATTTAAGTACATTTTTTTTAAAAAAGAGCTAAGATAAAGACTGTGGAAACGCCAAACCAAGCAAATTAGGAACCTTGCAATGGTATCCAGGGACTATGATGAGAGGCCAGCACATTATCTTCATATATCACCTTTGCTACGCAAGGAAATTTGTTCAATTCGTATACTTAATAAGAAGGAATGCGAGTAAGGATTGGCTTGAATTCCATGGAATTGCTAGTATGAGACTCTATTTATATGAAGTAGAAGGTAACTCTTTGCACATAAATTGGTATAATAAAAAGAAAAACACAAACATTCAAAGCTTATGGATAGGTCCTTGGCTCAAAGTTGTAAATAAATGTGAAAAATCTTCTCATGCAATTATTTTATTATCCAACACACTAATCTTTTGATACTTTATATAATTCCTTTTCTTCATATACTGCATCCAGTACTAGAACCATCATTATTATGTATCATTTTGAAAGAATACCTGATGATGAAGGATGGGAACAAATGACAGAGATGAGTCTTCCAAGTAAAGGGGGCCTCACATCAATAATTAGGAAACTTAGATATAAGTCCCCCTTTTCTGAAAATTCTACCCCAAGTCATTTAGATTTTTAAAAAATACTTCTTTCTAATGTTAAAATATTGGGACCAAATTAGAGTCAATAGTATAAGATTACTTAATTAGAGTAAAAATATCTATTAAGGCAGAGAAAGTTTAGAGAAAAAAAAATGCAAAGAAATTTGTTTCTTCCTATTCTGAATAAGTAAATCCATCCATCTATCCAAATCTCCTTTATCTAACTGTGTCTACTAAAAGCACTGTATTTTGTGGGAAACACTCAGATAAATGGAATATCATCCCCAACTTCAAAATTCTATCATCTAGGAGATTTAATTAAAATGACATTTTAATTTTTCTATGAGTTCAAAGAATCAGATTGCATAGTCTCTTTTGTGAATAGCTGTCATATAATCAGTTGCACTGTAACATATCTCCTTTGAACTCATTTGGGATATAAGTTACACATCCTTCAAATTGTTGATGTTGACAAATAGGATAATTTCAGTAATATTATTCAAACATAAACTGGTCTAGAAGAATATTGCATCACTGGCTAATTAACCTATCTAGATTCTAACTTCACCATTAAACCAAAAGCAGATGGTGGTCCTTGGCCAAGAATGATGAAGACATTGGAGTTGGTTTTCTTCTAAGCTATAAGAAGTGAGGCAAGCTGAAAAAGTACAGTAGAGCAGGGGAAGGATTTGTGAGATTCCTTCTAGGGAAGTTCACCCTCAAACTTTTCAGGATTAAAGACAGAGTGATTCAGGGGCCATAACCTAACAACTCAGAGCTCTCCTATCCATTCAGAGAAGTCTCTAGGAAAAGGAATCTCATATCAGTACTTATGAAAAATGGAATATAAGCCTCCCTTTCTAAATAAATCTGCACCGAGTCATCACAGCCCTCTTTTTGGATACTATACCTTGATTTTTTTTTTCTAATTTACACTATGCATATGGTTTCTACTGGGATATAGAAAGCAGAATCACTCATTTTGGAGAAGGAAAAAATAAATAGTTAAAACAGACTTTTAACTGTTAAGGTAACAGAAATATATTTAGTGAATGTAGTTTCTTTCCTCCTAAGAACACAAGACTTTTACATGTCGGGTAATACCTAGGGACGGAGGTAGGCATAATCCAAAATGACCCAGATGCTTTATAATAGCACCACTTTATAATTCTTTTGAATGATTTCTGTAGTATATAATTGACTTCAGTTGTTTGAGTGTTTTTTGTTTTATTTTTGTCCCCCCTGGGAAAACATATTTCAGCGTGTATAAGAGGGAGAAAAAAAGTTTCATTCGTTGCAGACAATAACTTATTTAGCCCAGTAGGGTAGAATTTTAAAATGTCAGTTAAAGTCTTCAAGGTGCTTTGGGGGGATATCAGATTCCAGAGGCCAATTGTAGCAACTGAAATTTGCAGAATCAATATGTAAATTTGAAACAAATTAGTATTAAAATTACACTGACTATATTTTTTAAATCACCCGACTTTGTAGATTATACCTATTTTGGGCAATCCTATTTTCAGGCATGGAAAAACTTTGCAGTTAAATGATTGCCTAAAGAAAGTGGTACTTAAGCAGGTGAGGAAAGATGGCCTCCGATCTAGGGTAGATCCAGAACCACAAAGCATCTGCATCACAAAAGTTGTTAGACTACCAAGCAACTCTTGGTTTTCTGCACAATATTAGTAGCACAGCTTAGGATGAGAATCTTTTCTCCAGTAACATTCTTAAACTAGCATGAAAAACAATGCAAAACTCAAATTTCTATTAAAACACACAAACCAAAATCAAGTGATTCTTTTTTGTAGATTAGGGAGAAGGACTGAATATCTAACTTAAGAGAAGAAATAGTGTTCTTCTAAATGCTATAGTGTGTGAGCTAATACCTTCTAAAAGAAAGACATGGCATGAAGATTGTGCATATTTACAATGCTAAGGAAAAATCAAGAAAAGAACTGTGAGGCTCTGCTGCTAGATGAAGTTGGAAGGACTATTAATGTGCTTCTTGAAGTATCAAAAATGAAAAGAAAATTAAAATTGTTTAAGCCTGACAGGGAAGGATGTAAATACAAGTTTTTCTAGTGCTATCTAACCTTTATTTCAAAACTGGAATTATTCATCCATCTGTAATTGTTGATAATTTAACTAGTATATGTAGTTCATAAGGTAATAGAAAAGGTGATCATGAAAGCATGTATATAACTGGACAGAACTACGATAATGCTATAAGATGTAGATTTAGTTAGGTTATCAGATGTTAAATGATTTTAATATTATTAAATAAATCAAACTAGAAAACTAACCACAAGTATAATATAGCAAAGTTAAATGCAGGATATTAAAATGTAGGATGGATTTTGCATAGTAAAAAAATAAGTTTGCCATTTAAAATTATCATTTGTTGGGTTTAGCTGAAAGTAGGCATATATGGTTCCACTTGTGAAAACTTGCTTTAAAGCATTACAATGAACAATTTTTTCTCATTCTCTTATTCCTTTATCACTTTTTAAATGTAAAGAAAATTTTATTTATTTTTTTTTTAAATAAACACCACCTTGGCCGGGCGCGGTGGCTCAAGCCTGTAATCCCAGCACTTTGGGAGGCCGAGGCGGGTGGATCACGAGGTCAGGAGATCGAGACTATCCTGGCTAACATGGTGAAACCCCGTCTCTACTAAAAATACAGAAAACTAGCCGGGCGTGGTGGCGGGCACCTGTAGTCTCAGCTACTTGGGAGGCTGAGGCGGGAGAATGGCGTGAACCCGGGAGGCGGAGCTTGCAGTGAGCCGAGATCACGCCACTGCACTCCAGCCTGGCAGACACAGCGAGACGCCGTCTCAAAAAAAAAATAAAAAATAAAAAAAAATAAACACCACCTTGCAGAATTTAACAGGCAAACATGTTACATATGACTAAGTAGGGGTCTTCAAGGTGAAGTAAACAAAATGTAAATGTTCTATTACCTTATGCAGAGAAAAAAAAAATGAGTGGTGTCATTTAGCAAACAAACAAAATACAGTTAATTTGTGATATGTCCTTTCTTTGCTCACTATGCCCTCTTGCCTCCAAAAATGACAACGAAAAAATCACAATTTTTCTGATAAATAAATGCTAAACCAAGTGTTCCAAAGTACTGCATTGCCATTCTTTTGGATTTTAGTTATTAGAATGATGATTGTTATAGGGCAAATGAGAAATCAAGTTGCATCAGCTTCTAGTTGTTTAAAAAAAAAGATAAATTAACTTCTACTGTATATACTGTGGGCAGAGGATCCTACTGTGCCTCTGTTTGTGAATGTGGACTTTGATGTGTATTAGTTTGAAGGACAGCCTTGCCCCATGTAAACATATAAATGCAGATTGGTATTCCCTGGTTGCTATTTGCTTAAGAACAAATATTATACAGATGTAGATCAGGTATAATTTTAAAAGATTATTATCAGTGGAGACCTCATGATTACTGATATTACAATGGGGCCAGTTTTTATACTTCTGGGTAGAATTAATACAATTTTTCTGATCCCAGAGATCTGAGTTCTCTCTGCAGCTGGAAACAAGAAGCTGTTATGGGCATTGCGTCGGGCCAGGGGCCCCTGTGTTTGTATGGGCAAATATCTTTTAGCAGTGTGAGCTGCTGTTTTCTTTTCATTAAAAGTCTCTCTAAAATAATAGAAATTTCAGATACTCGGTTCAAGTCTCACTGATTTTGTAGAGGTCCAAAAATGTAGGATCTGTCACTTTTGCAGGCCCCTGCCTCATCTAATTCCTGGCCAGGTGATATTTTGGGCAGAAGTAAATGCTTCTATAGTCATGAGCTAAAATGACTCTAAGTCCCAGTTTCACGGGGGTGTTCACATACTTCTTCTAGAAAATACTCTGACAGTCAGCTTTGCAAGTAAGTGATTACCTTGTTAGGAATCACAGAAAAATTTATTTCTCTCTGACCTTTAGAGGAAAATAGAGTCCTTCCCTTTTTTGCCCATTGACACAACTGGCACTGTTCTCTTCCCTTTCTGCCACCCTGGTTCAACGTAGTCCCCCGATGCTGTCCTGTTCCTTTCTTAAGCCATAGTGGATCGCTGAGATCCCACACCCCACTTTGTGAAATACTGACTTCGTCTTTGTCCTCGAATGCCTGATTTTTTCATGAGAGATTCTGGCAATTTGGACACTGTTTAAATGAACTATCAAACTACTGCATAGAGAATATTTAAGCTATTAAAATTGTGGTTTCCCATGAAGATCAATTCTCTGTGTCCTACCCTATAGGAATTTGAGACGAGTTAGCCCTGTGATGAATCTCAAAACTCACATAATGTCCACAGACCCTTGGTAGAACTTCAATTTAATCTTTACATAAAAGCTGTACATATAACCAAGAAGTTATTTTTGTCAACAAATTAACTTATTTACTTTATTCATCTTATTTTATTCCTAATCATAAATATTTTGCAGCTGCTGTAATTTTTTTTTTTCCCAAATGACGAGTCTTATTATCATAAAGGTAAAGGCTATTCAGCTTTGAGAACCACCTGCAATTATTTGTTGGATCATTCATCCATCTAACAAATACATAATGAGCGCAGTTCATGTTAATGAAAATCCATGTTGTCTAATAGAATGCCATCCTTTATCTACTTTTGCTCTTTATGGACATTTTTCTTTTCATGATCTAGTGAGCTTTCCCTATATCATGAGAAGTGATTATATTTGTGCAAATATACAAATATAGGAAAACAAAGATTCATACCTGTAGGCAATAGTCTAACTTGTCCAAACCACTTTGCCTTTAC